TGGGCGGCGGCGAGGCGGCGCGCGCGGTTGACAAAGTGGGCGGGGCTCGTGATGGGGGCGACGGCGACGCGCTCGACGGTGGCGCCGAGGCGGTGCAGCAGGTCGCTCTTCTCGACGGCCATGTCGTCGGGCATGCAGATGTGGCAGCGGTAGCCGCGGGCGCGGGCGAGGGTGGTCAGGGCGATGCCCGTGCTGCCGACGGTGCCCTCGTAGATGGTGTCGCCGCGGCCGGGCACCAGCAGGCCTGCCTCCTCGGCGGTGCGGATCATGGACAGGGCGACGCGGTCCTTGGGTGACTGGCCGGCGCCGTTGAGGAACTCGGCCTTGGCGAGGATGACGCGGCCCGTGGCCTCGCTCAGCGACTTGATGTTGATGAGCGGCGTGTTGCCGATGGCGCCCTCGATGCCGTCGGCGATGGGCGGCGGCTGCGAGGTGGCGGCCAAGTCGTCAGACACGGCGACATCAGACCCTTCGTGGTCCTCTAGCTGGACGGGCGGGCCCCAGAAGACGGAGCCGCGGCGCGAGGCCTCATCCTTGGAGGTCGAAGAGTTGGTGTTGCGACGGCGGACGGCGCGGCGGTGGCGCTGATAGCGACGCTCGAGGTCGGGGTAGAAGTCCTTGAAGCCGAGTGTCACCAGGATGCCTGCCGAAAAGGCGACGACAATGGCGGCTGAGCCATAGGCTTTGGGGTGGTTACTTAGCGACATGGCTCTTCAGCTGCTGAGATCCATACCTCGTCAATGGCCCCTCTCGTCAGTGACACGTCTCGATGAGGGCTCGAGGTGATGGTGGTGTCATGAGTGGTGAATGATACGAAGATGTGGTGAAGGAGGTCGTCAGACAGATGCGGCGAGCTGAGGCTTTCCAATGACTCTCGAGGCCAGACACAGAAGGCGCTACGGGGTCATGTCATCCAGGGACCCGATCCACGTGCCTGCAGCGTCGAGCGTTCAGCGTCCAGCGCCAGCGTCCAGCGCCCAGTGCAGTGCTCAGTTCAGCGCTCAGACTGCTGTGCTGGCCCTAACGATACCCCTGCCGGATTAACGTCTGGCCCGTCACGGGGAGCTCGGGCCACGATCAAAGCCAATGCATTGGAAATGGGCATTTGATGTTGATACTGGATACAGCGACAAAGATCACCATACCCCAAGTCTGGCAGCTTCCCCCGAGTCAACAGCCACGCCAGGCTGACCCAGCACCCCCGTCATGGACTCACCAATCGTCACCCGCCTCTTTAGGGATCTCTTTCGCCATCCCGCCTGCCAGTCCAGACAACGATTGTCCGCCCGGCTTCGACCTGCAGCGAACCACATCTGCCGTCAACCGCACCATCACCAACGACGACAATATGCCGTCAAGTCCGGCCTCGGCAAGGGCGAGAAGACAAACGAGAGCAGGTGGCAGCAGAGGACCCAGCTGTTCCCGGCCGACAGGTCCGAGGAGTTTGAGACCTACCCTCTCGTCACGGCCGAGGATCTGAAGGGGCGCGACGTGAGGCCAAGAAAGGTCAAGATGCTCATGCGAGACTTTGTCGACGGTATGTCCTGTCGAGGCTGTCCTCTGACCGAGTGTGCCCAGCATCCCAAACTGACAACGCTTCCCTGCAGACAGCTTGTACAATCCCAACTACGGTTACTTCTCCAAAAACGCCGTCATCTTCTCCCCCGGCCAGCCCTTTGACTTCCCCGCCTTTAGCCACGAACCGGCCTTCTACAAGGAGCTGGGCCACCGCTACACCGAGTTTGAGGATGCCCTCGACGACAAGGAGGGCGTCAAGGACGACCGCCCGCTGTGGCACACGCCGACGGAGCTCTTTCGACCCTACTACGGCGAGGCCATCGCCCGCTACCTCGTCTCCAACTACCGCCTCACCACCTACCCCTACCACGACCTCATCATCTACGAGATGGGCGCCGGCCGCGGCACCCTGATGCTCAACATTCTCGACTACATCCGCGACATGGACCCCCAGGTCTACGCCCGCACAAAGTACAAGATAATCGAAATCTCCTCCTCCCTCGCCGCGCTCCAGGGCCAGAACCTGCTGCGCGCCTCGGGCCACGCCGACAAGGTCGACATCATCAACAAGTCCATCTTCGACTGGAACGAGCGCGTGCCCTCGCCCTGCTTCTTCCTGGCCCTCGAGGTCTTTGACAACTTTGCCCACGACTGCCTGCGCTACGACCTGCGCACCGAGGAGCCCCTGCAGGCCCGCGTCCTCATCGACGACGACGGCGACTTTTACGAGTTCTATGACACCCGCCTCGACCCCGTCGCCGCCCGCTTCCTGCGCGTCCGCCACGCCGCCACCGCCGGCCGCTACCCGGCCCCCTACCCGGCGAGCCGCCTCGCCCGCGACCTCCGCAGCCGCCTGCCCCTGGCCCCCAACCTCTCGGCCCCCGAGTACATACCCACGCGCCTCATGCAGTACCTCGACGTCCTCGAGAGGTACTTCCACGCCCACCGCCTGTCTGACGAGCGACTTCCACGCCCTGCCCGACGCCTTCGATGGACTACATGCGCCCGTCGTCCAGACGCGCTTCGAGCGCCGCACCGTGCCCGTGACGACCCCTCTCGTGCGTCTCCCCCTGTTCTTCTTACTCCGTCTCCCCCCCCCCCCCCCCCCTCCCCTTTTTTTTTTTCGAGCTAAAAGCCCCAGGGCCCCCAGGGCTACTTCGAAATCATGTTTTCCCCCGACTTCAACGTCGTCGAGGCCATGTACCAGGTCATCACGGGCAAGCTCACGCGCGTCTCGTCCCACGGCGACTTTATGCGCCGCTGGGCCTACCTCGAGGACACGGAGACGCGCAGCGGCGAGAACCCCCTGCTGAGCTACTACCAGAACGCCAGCGTCATGGTGACCGTATAGCCGCAGCAGCTGTGCTGGTCTTTTTGGAAGAATCATAGAACAAGTCAGGAGTGCTCCTGGTCAGAGTGCTTCTGGTCAGAGTGCTTCGAGTCAGGTAGATACCCGCGCTGTACATGTACGACCAGGGGCGTTCAGAGGATGTAAAACAATAGGTGAACCTCCGACGGCATTCATCACCGCGTAGAATATGTATCACCAGCCATTCATGCATCACGCATGGTCCAAAACACACACATTCATCTTGCATTTTTGAATCATACATGCACCCTTGCTTCCTACTCATTTCATCCGCCTCCACAAAGGGGTATGAGACTGTCGACTACAGCTTCAGCTTCTCCTCCAGCCACTTCGTCGCAGCCTTGACACCGTCGTCCGTCGCCTCGGGCTTCGTGCCCTGGCCCTGGCGCGTGGGCTCCTTGCCGCCCGACTTGCCACCGACGATGTCGCTGACGGTCGAGGCCCACGCCTCGGCGGTGACGCCCTTGGACGCGAGATGCTGCGGATATGTGTCAGTTTCATGCTCCAATACCGTATCTCGGGGCCTGAAAACATACCGTGCCAACGTAGACACCGTGCACCACGGCGTTCTCCTCCTTGCCGCCGCCAAACAGGTACACGGAACGCTCCTTGTCCTTGGTCGAGTAGTGCTTGATCGTCTCGGTGAGCGCCTTCGTGTTGGCCGAGATGGGGAGCTGGCCGACGTAGGCCTTGGCGTCAGGGTTCTCGGTAAAGTACTTCTGGACAGTGTCCAGCGCCGTCTTGGCCTCGGCCTTTTGGCGCTTCTTCTGCTCGTCCGTGATGGCCTTGACCATCTTGTCAAGCTTCTTCTTGAGCTCGTCCTTGGTCAGCGTCGATATGGTCGCCTTGCTGAGCGCCTGCTGCACCTCCTTCACCTCCTTCTCCTTCTCAGGGCTGTAGGGGAGGGCCTCGACAATGTCGAGCTGCCTGGCCAGCTCGGTAGCCTCGCGCTGAACCTGGTGCGCGGCATCGCCGGTGAAGGCGATGATACGGCGGATGCCCTTGGCGATACCGCTCTCCTCCACAATGACGAGGTCCTTGATGTGGCCCGTCTGCTCGACGTGGGTGCCACCGCAGAACTCGACGCTGATATTGCGCCACTCGGGCTTCTTCGGGTTCTCGAGAAGGTCCTTGACGGGCACGCCAACAGACACGACGCGGACCGGGTTGGGGTAGGTCTCGCCAAAGACGGCGCGAAGGGTGTCAATCTCGCGCGCCTTCTCCAGCTCGACATCCTCGGCGTAGACCTTCTGGTTCTTGCGGATGTACTCGTTGGAGAGCTCCTCAATCTTCTTGAGTTCCGGGATTTCGACACCCTTCTTGTGTGAGAAATCGAAGCGAAGCTTGCCGTCGTCGACGAGGGAGCCCTTCTGATTGACATCTTCGCCCAGCACCTCGCGCAGGGCGTGGTTCAGAATGTGAGTGCCCGTGTGGTTGTTCCTGATAGGGGATCGGCGCAGCTCGTCATACTCGCAGATAACCTCGTCTCCGGAAGAAAGAGTGCCAGACTCGATGTAGCCGTGGTGAAGGATGTAGCCTCCGTAGCTCTGGACGTCGAGAACCTTGAACTCAACAGACTCGTCAATGACGAGTCGGCCCGTATCAGCGACCTGGCCACCGGCTTCGGCGTAAAAGTTGGTCTTGTCGAGAATCACGCTGATGGGAGTGTTCTCGGCGATATCTTTGGTAGACTTGACGAAGCCCTTGCCGTCGAAGATCAGCTGAACCTTGCCCTTGGAGTCGCCCTTGACATACTTGTCGGCGTCGTTGGTCCTCGCAATCTGGTGCTGCTGCTCCAGCTCAGCGATGCCGTGGACATCCAGCTTGGGGAACGTCTCGATCGCAGACTTGACGCTCTTGCTGGCCTCGCGGGCCTTCTCTTGAGCAACCTTGACCTCTTCGTCATCGATCTGGAGGCCGCGCTCCTCAGCCATGAGCTGGGTGAGGTCCACAGGGAAACCATACTACAGGGGTTAGCGAAATGTGCTTCTGGCTCTTGCGGGAGTGACAAACCGTATCGTAGAGCTTCCAAACCTCAGCGCCAGACAGCTTCTTGAGGCCCTTCTTTTCCGCAGCGCCAGCGAACTTCTGGAATTGCGCCTCGCCACGGTCGAGAGTCTTGGCAAAAGCCTCCTCTTCCTCGTCAAGGATCTGATTGCGTTAGTTGCCATTGCCGCATTCGTCTCTATCATCTTGCTCACCTCCTTGATGTCGTACTGCTTCTTGACGAGCTCGGGGAACTGCTGGCCCATCTCATCGATCAGGGTGGGCAGGACGCGAGAGAAGAAGGTTCCGATCTCGGCATTCAGGTACTTGCGAGCATAGCGCGCACCTCTCCTGAGCACGCGGCGGACGACGTAACCTCGGCCCTCGTTGTTGGGAACAGCACCATCAGCGATGGCGAAACCGAGCATTCGGATGTGATCCGCGCACGCTCTGTGAACTCATCAGTATACTGGGGCGAATCATCGCGCGATCCGAGAGCCATACCTGTAGGCGGTGTCGATGGTCTCCGGGTCCTCGGCACCGTACTTGTCGGTGTAGGGCCTTGTGCCGGTCACCTCTTGAATCTTCCTGAAGTATGGGCTCCAGATATCGGTGGCATAATTGGAAGAGACGTCCTGCAGAGCGGCAACAAGACGCTCAAAACCCATGCCGGTATCGACGTGTTGGGCGGGGAGAGGGGTAAGGGATTGGTCGGCTCTACGGTCGTAGGCCATCCAAACGTTGTTCCAGAGCTGTCAGTTGGGTGAGTGAAGCTCTTCAGTAGCGGCGGGTCCTTTCGTGGGCAGGAGGAATACGCACCTCAACAACCATGGGGTCGTCCTTGTTGACAAGGTGGGCGACATCACGGCCGCCAATCTTGTCGTAGTGCAGCTCAGAGCAGGGGCCGCATGGGCCGGTATCGCCCATGGACCACCAGTTGTCTGCTTTTGAGCCGGGCAGGATGTGAGACTCTGGCACACCGACGGACTTCCACAGCTCCTTTGACTCCAGATCGGGCTCGAGTCCTTGTGCGGGGTCGCCCTCAAAGTATGTCACGTATAGTCGGTCCTTCTCGAGGCCCAGGGTCTCGGTCATGAACTCCCAGCTGTACTTGATGGCGTCCTTCTTGAAGTAGTCCTGCGGCTGTTAGCGAAGGGTTTGCAGGGCTCGACAAGGCACAACGTACACCGAACGACCAGTTGCCCAACATCTCGAAGAAAGAGCTGGCACAAGAGTTAGTCGAAATTCAAGAAGGGGGTTGTGGTGCGAGCTGCGCAGTGTCTCACTGGTGGTAGCTGTCGTGGCCGACATCTATGCAAGTTAGCTTCGCATCGACCCGTCGCAAGATGATGGATAACCTACCCTCAAGATCACTGGCCTTGCCACCGGCACGAATAACTACACCATACAGTCAGCTCCGTTGTCCTGTTTGGGACGGTTGTGCAAGACGACATACCCTTCTGTGTATCGGTGGCGCGCTTCAGGCCGTACATGGGATCGGACTGGGCGATGGTGCCGAGGAAGATGGACTTGAACTGGTTCATGCCGGCATTGGTGAACAGCAGGGTCGGGTCGTTGTGGGGGACAACGGACGAGGAGGGGACGACGGTGTGGCCCCTCTCCTCGAAGAACTTGATGAAGGTCTCGCGGACCTTGGCCGCGGGCCACTTCTGCTCCTCGGCCATGGCGATGGTGGGGTAGTTGCTGGCGGCGCGGGCGCGGGAGGAGGAGGAGGAGGAGGAGGAGGAGGAGTGCAACTGGCGGATGTGGGAGGACAATTGCCTTGTCGCGATGATGCGGTTCGTTTTGTGACAGTCGCCGGGGATTCGGGTATCGAAATGGGTGGCGGGACTTGTCGTGGTGAAGTTGACAGGACGATGACTGTCGTGGTGGTGGGGTGAACGAGAGGGAGGGGGCTTTGGAGGGGTCGCGCCGGGGCACAGGCACAGGCGTGGACTGGGGCCGGCAGCGTAGAAACTTCTACAAGGAGCGCGATGAGTCAAAGCTGGTACAAAAGCTGAGCTCCTGCTCCTGCTGCTGCTGCTGCCGCCGCCGACACCGACGCAGGTGCTTGTGCTTGTGCAGTAGCGATTGCCACGCCCGCGCCATCCCCACACCGCCTTCATCTGCCAATCCTCGACAGGTCCCTACAGCGCTTCCTTCAGCGGGCCTCTTCCCGAGTGCCTCTTCCCGAGTGCCTCTTTCAGCGAGTCCTTATCGTCGCAAGCCGCCTGTACCCTCGTGCGACCGACCGAGCGACCGACAAGAACCGCTTTCTCGATTTCGAATCGTGCCCACCGTATCGCTTCAATCAATCAATCAATCAATCAACGCGCGCTCACGCCTCGGTCGATTGCATCAAAAGAACCGCTTCGTTATCCGTATCCCCTCTCGGTCGTCTTCTCGGATTGGTGTCTTTTGCTCGTCGGCCCCTCCTCCAGGACAGGTTTCGTTGGCCGCGTCTTTGATTGTGCTGTGCTGGTGTCGAAGGGAAGTGGGCAAGCCCCCTACAACCACGACTCTCGCTCTCTCTCCGTCTGTCCCCTGAGGCACCAAAATGCTGCTGCACGGAGCGCAATCTCCCCCGCCAGCACCCGTTACCCACCACCAGCCCGACCTGTCCGCGCGACCACGGCGCAAGAGGAAAGCCGAGACACAAGACAACGAGCGCCTCTCGAAGCGATTGAGTCTTCTCAATCTAGGTATGCATCCCTCTCCTCCGAATGCAACACAAGCGTCTGCTGACGTGTTTCCCTCCAGAACAAAACGGCCAGAAGCTCTACGTCCCCGTCGAAACGCCCACCGCCCCAGCCCTCCCCGCTTCCGCCCTGACCCCAGCAGCGCAAGCGGCAGCCGCCGCAGCCTCGCCCGCCAATGCCGACGACGACATGCACCTCGACGACACGAAACACAAAGTCTACATCTACTCGCTCGACGACGAGCTGTCGTCCTCCGACTCAGACCCCGACGACGGCCGGCTCGTCTTCCTGCCCGACATTGAGCGCCACCTGCGCGCCGCCCGCCTCGTCGATCCCGGCGCCGCCCCGCTCGTCTCGGTGCCGCGCCCCATCCAGACCGCCACCGACGGCTGCTGTAGGTGTGCTTGCGGTCTGCGTAGAAAAAGGATCTCCAGAAAGGACCCAACTGTTTGGGGCCGGGGGTGTTGGGGGTGGGGTAGGGAACTCGGGAGGCGTGAGAGGGAAAGGGGAGGTGGACTAAGACGGACAACTGAAGGGAAGGCATAGTAACAAGTACGAAGAAGATATTTATTACGCAGAGGAGTGAGTCGCTGTTCAGGAGAAGAGGGTTAGAGATACAACATTGGAAACGACGACAAGAGCAGAAAGAGGGAAGAAAACATGGTAAAGAACAAAGAAAAGTACGAATATAAATATACAGCGGAGGAGACGATCACGTAGACGCAGAGACGTGAGTACGGTAGAGTCACGATACAGGGATCTGCACGAAGATGAGCAGGCAACCACAGCGAGTCATACGGCTACAGAATGACATGCTGATAGCGGTTTTTATTTCTG